TGAATTTGAACGATCAAAAATATATATTGATCGATCATGTTATTCCATACTCGTAAAGATTCCATTGCATTTGTAAAATATTGCCATAAATGTGGTATCAAATCCATTAAAGTTGTAAATATTCCCACAAATTTGGTAAACAATCTTATGAAATTGTAAATATTCCCATAAAGAATCCATTGAAGTTGTAAATAGTCCCATAAAAGTGGTAAATGATTCATTAAAGTTGTATATCTTCTTGGATTAGTTATAAATTATTCATAAATTAACCACATATCTGTATGTTCTGATCGATCAATCATATTAAATGATCGATCACGGACTAGTAAATATCATAAATTATACCATTCAATTAGTAAATATTGCTCTCCACTAGTAATTTTGTCCACAAAACTGGTATATATTCTTCAATTGCTTGTAAATTATTTACAAATTAAGTATAACTCTCTTAAAAAATATTCACAATTCTCATAAAAACAAATTGATAACTCTCGTAATTATTAACTTTATCATAGTAACAAAAACTTTAATACAGTAATTATTTACACAAATGTAGTAAAAAATCCACTGAAGTTGTAACTATTACCATCAAAGTCGTAAACAATCCAATGCAATTATAAATATTGTCATAACTGTGGTAAGAATTCTATTGAAGTTGTAAATATTACCATAAATTTGGTAAACAATCCACTGAAGTTTTAAATATTCCCATAAAAAATCCATTGAAGTTATAAATATTCTCATAAAAAAGGTAAATGATCCACTGAAGTTGTATATCTTCTCGAATTAGTTGTAAATTATTCATAAATTAAGCACACATATGTGTGTTCGGATTGATCGATCATATTTAATGATCGATCATGGGCTAGTAAATATCGTAAAAAATACCATTGAATTAGTAAATACTTTTCTAAATTAGTAATTTTTAAATATTGCCATAAATGTCGTAGAAATACCATTGAACTTGTAAATATTGCTAGCAATTTGGTAAACAATCCACTGAAGTTGTAAATATTCCCATAAAAAATCCATTGAAGTTGTAAATATTTACATCAAAGTGGTAAATAATCCATTGAAGTTGTATATCATCTTGGATTAGTGGTAAATTATTCATAAACTAAGCACACATCTGAGTGTTCGGATTGATCGATCATATTTAATGATCGATCATGGACTAGTAAATATGGTAAAAAATACCATTGAATTAGTAAATACTTTTCTAAACTAGTAATTTTTAAATATTACCATAAATGGGGTAGGAAATCAATTGAAGTTGTAAATATTTCCACAAATTTGGTAAACAATGGAATGAAGTTGTACATATTCCCATAATGAATCAATTGAAGTCATAAATATTGCCATAAAGTTGGTAAATGATGCATTGAAGTTGTACATCTTCTTGAATTAGTTGTAAATTATTCATAAATTAACCACAAATTTGTTGTTCTAATCGATCGATCATATTTATTGATTGATCACAGAGCAGTAAATATCATAAAAAATACCGTTGAATTAGTAAAAAAAATTCACAACTCTCATAAAAAAAATTGATAACTCATGTAATTATTAACTTCATTATAGTTAAAAAAACATTTTCTATAGTAATTATTTACACAAATATGGTAAACAATCCACTGAAGTGTTAAATATTGTCATAAATGTCGTAAAGAATCTATTCAAATTGTAAATGTTGCCATAAATGTGGTGGGAAAGTCATTGAAGTTATAAATATTCCCACAAAATTGATAAACAATCCACTGAAGTTGTAAATTTTTTCATAAAAAATCCATTAAAGTTGTAAATATTCCAATAAAAGTGGTAAATGATCCATTGAAGTTGTGAGTTTTCCTGGATTAGTTGTAAATTATTCATAAATTAATCACACATGTGTGTTCTAATCGATCGATCATGTTATTTATTGATCGATCATGGACTAATAAATATCATAAAACATACCATTCAATTAGTAAATACTATTCTCCACTAGTAATTTTGCCACAAAACTGGTATATCTTTCTCGATTGAAGTCTCAAGTATTCCCATAATCGTAAAGAATTTATTGAACTTGTAAATATTGCCATAAATGTGGTAGAAAATCAATTGAAGTTGTAAATATTACTACAAATTTGTTAAACAATTCATTGAAATTGTAAATATTCCCTTCATTATGTTATCAACATTGTATTATATTTTAATAAAATTACTTTTAGTAATCATGATATACTATCTAACATGTCATTTCACTGTCTTGTCTTGTCTATCAACCGATATCCAACAAATAACCGGTTACTATTTGGGAAAAAAATAAATTTCAAAAGACACATTAATCATTGGCTCACTTTTCTTGTTAGATAAATTTACGGTGCACGTTGAATTTTCGGCACCCTACTGAAAATCCCCTTGGATGTACTATAGCCTGGTCCTACACCGACACTTTCCCTTGATTGACTCCATGTGTTCCAAACATTCCTTTTCTAACTTCAAAAAAAAGGAAAAATATGATGTTATGTTCATGTATTTGATTCTCTTGGGGAACTTCCATGATCGGTGCCAAGGACCTCTCTGCATCGTAACTGTGCTTCCACCGCCGCTACTGCATCACCAACAACACATTGCCATCACCCATCACCAACAACACATTGCCATCACCCAATATTAATTCACATCAAATCAAAATAAAAAAATCCAAAACTGATTTGGGTCTAGCTCATGTCATTTGAAAAATTAAAATAGTAGTGGTTATGGGCGATGACTGGTTGGAAAAGATGAAAAGGAAGAAAAGAAAAGGTATCGGTGGTTGCAAATGGATGTGAGTGGTGAACTAAGGTAAATGAAAGAGACACGAAGAAGTGTCTGGCAGTGGTTAGATATAGTGGACTGGTTGGAGAAAAGAAAAGGCGAAGAAGAAATGTGGGTATGGTTTAAAAACTATTTATACCAAATCAATTATTAAAAATAAATAAAACAACTTTCCCAAATTTGTATTAAACATATTTCTAAATGCTATTTGGATATAATTTATGGACATAATTAGGGGATTTAATGCATTATGATTATTGAACTGATAGTGTTAGGACTCAATGATAATTTAATGTTGGGACTCATTGATAATCTAATGGCCAAAATCGTTAAATCTTTAAATTATGTTCTAATAACATTGCTTTTTGCAAATAGTAAAACATTAAATCATAGTGCTCAATTCAAAGCATAGAAACCCAAATAAAGGAAAAATATTATTTGAACATAATTTGAGGATTTAATCAATTACAGTCGTTGGATTAAAAGTTTAGAATAATTCTATTTAGACCTAAAAATTTAACCTAATTTGTTAACATAATGATGTAATGTTAGACTAATAGACCTTTGGTCTAATGATACTCTTTATCTAGTGAAGACTTTACCTTTTTGATGTCAAGAATACAAACCCTCTTCCCTCTCTCCCCTCCCCCTCCAAAAAAAAATATTTAAAAAAAAATGATATAATTTTAGTGAAACTATTTAATCAACACCCACTTTCAATATTTGACGAATAACCCAAAGGTTACAGAGAATTAAATCAATAAATTAAATCTTAATAACGTTGCTCAACAGTTTATTTCACCTAACAACTCGTCTTAATTACATAAACTCTCTTAGAACTCTTGCATCATTAAATAAAAAAAATATTAAAAATTTATCAATAAAAATAAATAAAATTATAATGAGCTAATTTATGAACTTAATTGGTGACATAATTCATCATCTCAAGTAACGGCCAATTAAGGAAACTTGAAGGTAAAGTATGATTTGATTTCTAAATCTCATCAAGTTGGGGTGAGTAATTAAAACACTAACGAAAAAGGAAACAAAATCTGAGAGACCTTAAACCCAAAGATCTCATCAGACACAGCCAACGACACATATATATAAAATCAAAAATTCAGAAAGAAGAACAGCCAACCTCCTGAGTCCCAATGTACAAACCTCCGCCATCGTCTCTCCATAAACCCTAAATTCCACCACCCGATGTATTCTTCACCTCCGTTTGTTTGATTTCTCTCCCCTCTCTCCGAAAAGTTTCACCATTGTAAAGCAATGGAGTCGTTGATCGAACTCTGCGATCTGATCGCACAAAATCTTTCGCAGTTTGCTGATAAATTGGCTTGGATTTGTGGCCGATGTCCACCGATTGACTCTGTACTCGCCACCGCTAGATTTCTTTCTAAATGCCCCAATTTCGACGACATGAGGCCCTAACCGGCAGTCCTAGGGTTTTTTAAGTCGATTCCGTATTCTTTTTGGCCACAGTCGTTTGGAAGCGATTCAATCGATTCGTTCGATTTTTTGAGTTATGTGAATAAAGCCAGTGAGTTGTCGTCGGATTTTGCCATGGCCGTTCCGGAGTATACGGGAGAGATTGTGATGTCGGCGATTAACAATGTCAGTGGGGATTTGGGGGTTTCAAGGGTTTTCTTGAATGCTCTGTTGCAGTATTTTCCTCAAATTCTTCCTTCCTATGCACACAAATTAGTGTCCACTCTTCTAGATCGATTTGAAATTTCGGTTCCTAGTTCACCGAAGCAGCTAGTTGCGATAACACCTGAAGCGTCATCGTCTCAGAGTTCGCCCCTCAGTGCAAACCATTATCAATCAAATGAGAGAAACAGTCCAGGAAACGAGGTCAGCAATGCCTCTAGTTCTTCGAGCGGTGAGGCTTCAAGGGTTACAGATGAGAAGACCAGTGCATTGTCGACGAAAGGATTGGTGATGAATGGGGGCAGCCTTGCGTGTAAGAGCAATGTGGATATATTTGGTGCTGGTGTTGGGTTCAATGATGGAGGAGGAGGCAGTTTCGCGACGTACAAGCGAGTGGTAGCCTCTTTTGAGGAAGAGCCTGTGGAGAGCCTTCAACAACAGGAGATTGCTTTCAAGCTGATTGGGACACATATTGGATAAAGTCCAGATTGATCTTAAGCTTTTGGAACAAGTGAGGGCCATTCGCCAAGGAGCAACTCCAATCAATGTTGGCTTTCCTAAAGGTAAAATTCATGGGTATCCACCCTTTTGGTTTTGAATTTTATTGATGTCTTGATGAAAAAACTATATAGATGAATGATAAAGCTGGTTAAAATATTTGCTTTTGTTGGCAGATAAGGAAGCGTGACCGGACGGAACAGGGGCAGCTACTGAAAGTTGGAATCAATAAAAAGCTGTCGGTTTATCAAGCTGCAACCAGGTTACAAATCAATAGTCTTTCATCTGTTGATTTGGATGGGAAGTCATCGAAGAGGTTGTTGCATGGAACTTTGGCATTGTTGATAGAAGCTGCTGAAGCATGTTTATTCTCTGTCTGGCGAAAGTTGAGAATTTGTGATGAGCTCTTCGGCTTATTGTTTGTGGGGATTTCCCAAATTGCTCTCACTCGTTGTCGTCAGCTGCTGCGTGTCTTGCTCATTCGCTTCAAACCCCTTGTGTTAAGTACATGTGCTCAGGTACATTATCTGTTTGCTTAGGGCTATCTCCTGCAGCTGGGGCGTATCTTGGTAACATGATTCTGCAATATGTTGCACTTTTTTGGGTAAACTTTCATTGTGATATATATATATTTTCAAACAGTCAGAAACTTGAGGCAGATTTTCTAGGACCTCTATTTCTTGTTGTGGCTGAAATATGTTCAGATTTTGATCCTATTGTATATGTGGAACCTGCACTTTTGAAGTTATTCCGCAATTTGTGGTTCTATGTCGCTCTCTTTGGGTTTGCACCTCCAATTCAAAAAACTCTATCTCTGATAAAGTCAGTTTCCCGTAATCTGAATAGTGTAGGGAATTTCTCTTCAAGCAGTAGGTGGGCCATACATGTGGAATACTCGGTGGCCTTCTGCTGTTCAGCGTATTTCTCAAGGGACCCCACCTCTTGTAAGTTGATCAATAAAAAATCTTCCCTGATTCTGTTCTCCGTTTGACTTGATCATTGATATCTCTTTATATTTTGCTCTGAGATTTAGCTAAATTATGTTTACTCTTTTATGGATGTCTTATTCATATGTAGGAATTCGACCAATTTATTGCTACTTCTGGAGATCAATTTTGTCATATTTTAATGGTGATAAAAAAAGTCAAATTTGATTCACATCTGAGAAATCTAATATGACGTTTACATCGCAGCGATGCATATATATTGCATGTATCTGTATCATTAATTTTATCAGTTGTTTTTTTCACGTACAAGTATTGTGACTAAATTGTAGTTTTGGAGATAAACCCCAGCTTACAAGCACCTATTCCAAAATTGATTAAGCATACTTTCCTCATCTATTTTGCCCAGTTTGCCTAGAACTTTTTTATCCTATTCACCAAATACTTATTCTGAACACTTGATGTTCTAATGTCTGTTTCATATTTTATTGGGTCATTTATTTATGTATCAATATGGTGGCTCGAAATGGGAAATTTGTAATGACTAAGCATGTATAGTAATTTATCCTTGCAATTATGCTTGAAACAGTTTAATAAGATCTTTTTAACCAAAAATTATATCTCTATTCAATTGATTTTCGTATAAGTATATGTTTAAGTATGAGAATGATCAATCTTTCCTTTTCTACTAGGCATTATTCAAGGCATAAAACTATTCTGCTGCCAATTACTTCTTTACAGTATTTTATGTCTTACATTTTTGTGCCATAACTCAATGTGACAATTACTTGAATTTTTGTGTCAATTAATTGCTTACAGTATTTTATTTCTTAAATTTTTGTGCTATGACTCAATGTGTAATATTGCTTATTGAGTGCAGTATCTTAAAGATGGTGGAGAAATGGAGAAAAGACTGACCTATTGAAATTTGGGAGGCTCATAAAGCCGCAATCCAAGCGTTTTCTTGTGAAAGGTATAGATTTTTCTTTGGGTATTGTATGGTATTGATTTTGTGGTATGATTTTGTTAGCATTTTCTTTTCTTCTCTTCTCGTGAAGTTCTTAATTATTATCCCTGATCTCTATTTTTTGCTTAAGATTTCTTGTAGTTATCGAACTATAAAGACACTGATGTTGAAACTTGAAGATCCTACACCATGTTGCTTTGGATACGAATGAACAATGACAGTTTTGTTTATGGTAATTCAGGTTTAAGTGACACAACTCTACACATACTTTTGAAGAGCATACAGGTCGGCTTCTTGCATGACTATTCCTTTTGAATATCTTTGAGTAGATGTTATAGTTTTCATTTTTAAATATTAATGTGTTTTTATAAAAATTGTGGTGGTTGTTTGAAAGTTTTCAATGGTAGTAATTATCATATTCTAGATGATCTTTAAATTTGCAAGTTATGAAAAAAGAACACATTAGTTTTTAGACCCTAATTGACTTGGACGCAGAAATGGACGTGTCTTGGTGGCATCTTGCATCATGACGCCCCGTGAATTCAAAGCAAAGCGATGTTGCTAAGATATTCGACAAAAGTCCAAGCGCCATGTCTTAGGCTCTCGTTATGTTTTCTTGGTTCAGAAGATGTCCGCTAAAGTCTTTTTTGGAAAACCTCCATAAAACATATATAGGGGATAGAGATAGTTGAGGGGCACTGAGGGTCTAGCTAGCCTCTTGCCCTCAAGCTTTGGCACCGTTGAGCAAAATATAAATGTGTCTATGTTTCTTTGGTGTATTAGTGTATGAGTGTATTTCTTTGGTGTATTAGTATGTGTGAACAGAGTGTATGAGTGTGTTTCTTTGATGTATTAGTGTGTGTGAACAGAGCGTATGTTTTTGGGTTTTTTTCTGGGTATATTATTGTGTATGCGTTAGTTTATGTTTCTATAATATTGTGTTTATTTGTTTGGTGTAGGAGTATGTATGTGTTTTTGGGTATATTAGTGTATTAACACGGTGTGTGGGTGTGCATGTATATGTTGATTAGCTGGGGTGTGTGTGTGTTTTGGTGTATTAATGTGTGTTTTTTAGTGTATTAGTGTGTGTATTTGTGTTCGTGTAATAGCGTGTGTTATTGTATATTAGTGTTGTGTTTTTGGTGGATTAGTTTGTGTTAACACTACATGTGATGGAATGTATGCATTTTTGTGAATGTGTGTATGTGTTTAGGTGCTTCATTGTGTGTGTATTTTTTGGTGTATTAGTGTGTGCATATTTTAGATGGTGTATTAGTGGGTGTGTGTGATATGAGATGATGTATTAGTGTATGTGTGTATGTTGTGTTTGTGTTTGTGTATGTGTAATAGTGTGTTTGTGTGTTTTGGTATGTTGGTGTCTATGTTTTTTGATGCATTATGTGTATTTTATTGTGTAGTAGTGTTTGTTAACACATTGTGTGTGGGTGTGTATGTATTAGTGTGTTATGTGTGTTTGTTTCAGTGATGGTGTGCGCATACATGTGTATTTGTGTAATAGTTTGTGTATGTGTGTGCATGCCTTTGGTGTGTTAGTGTGCATGTTTTTTTGGTGTATTAGTGTGTGTATGTTTTTTAATTTAAGGGGGCAGTGCGTTTTCATTAGTGTATGTGTATTCTTTTAATCAATGTGTTTTTTGTGTGTTTTTATGTGTACAATGTGTATTTATTTTTATCAATTTTTTTTTGTGTATAGGTTTTTATGTTTATTGCGATTGGTTGTTGGCGTGTATGTTTTTATGATAGTATGTCTGTATCTTTCTTATCTTGAGTGTTTTTGTGTTTTAATGTGTATAACATGTTTGTCTGTGTGTGGTTATTACTCTGTTTTTTTTTTTTGTTATCGAAGTGTTGGTGTGTATGTGCCTCCTTATGTGTCTGTGCTTGTATTTTTATTTTTTATTATGTGTATCTTTATTACTATATGACTATTTTAAAGTTTGTTTCCGGGTTTCCGGATTGAGTCCATTTTTTATAACCCTATTGTAACAATTTTATCAAGTTTTTGTAGAAGTTGCCTGGAAGTTCACACAATGATTTATCAAGCCTTTTACTTGTAGAAGTGGATGCCTTGGTACCTTTGTTTAAGAATTCTTAACTGCAATTGGTTGATTTTCGAAAGTAGGTATGTTTTTACCATGTGGGTTCATTTAGATCATCTGTTAGGTTGTTTCGTCAAAAAGTGAGTTTCTTATGTTTGGTCAAAGATTGATGGAAAACTCACCGATCTCAAGAAAGAGGTAGCCACTTAAGACATAGTACTGCAAGACGCTAGCTGAGTTTAGTAAGGAGCGTTTATGTGTAGATTCTCAATACATCCATAAATATGTAAGCACATACTTACAAATTAGGTACCTAACCTTCAGGTGAGCTTGTTATAGATGAACCTTATTTTGTAAAAAAAAAACCTTTTTTTCTTACTTTTTTTTTTGTTGGACTTCGAAGTTCATAAGTATCTTTCTCAATGATAAACTTAAATCTTTTGGTTAAGATTTCTTACAGTTATCAAACTATGCTTTGGATAAGAATAACTGATATGGATTGTTATTAATGGTAACACAAGTTCCTATGACACAACTTTAGTGGATTGGAAAGGGAGGACATGTGTGCATACTTTCGCAGGGCATACAGGTTCGTTTTCTTGCGTGGTTTGGTCTTTCCAATAATTGGTTTATTGGTCATCATTTAAGGTATATGACCCCCTCTGTTGTCAATTACTTCCTTACAATTTTTTGTTCTTTCAAAATTTTTATGCCATTTAACTTCTATGTCACGAGTTTTGATATTCTCTATTGATTGCAGTATGTTAAGATGGTGGAGGAGAGACCAACATGTTGAACTTTGGAAGGCTTACAAGGTTGTAATCTAAGCAGTTATACCTTCAGGTGAGCTTTTTATAAGTGAACATTATTTTGCTTGATTTGAGGTATGATTGTGTAAGTTTTTTCCTTCTCTTTCATTCTCTTCTCTTTTTTGTCTTGAACCTTGAAGTTCTTAAGTATCTGCACTATGATCTCTCAACGATCAAATTAAGTGTTTTGCTTAAGTTTTCTTATAGTTATCAAACTATGCTTTGGATAGGAATGATTGATATGGATTGTTGTCAATCATAATGCAAGTTCTAGCGACACAATTTAAACTTGGGAAAGGGAGGACATGTGTGCTTGTTTTCATACGGCTTGCGGGTTTTTTTTGCATGTCTACTTGACTATTTCTTTTGCATATATTTTAAGGCATATGATAGTTTCTATTTAAAACGCTAATGATTTAGAAATATGGTTTGGTCTTTCCATTAATTGGCCTACTGGTCATCATTTAAGGTATATGACTCCTCTGTTGTCAATTACTTCTTTTTAATTTTTTATTCGTTCAAATTTTCATACAATTTAATTGTTGTGTTACGAGATTAGACAATACATTAAGACGGTGGAGGAGAGACCAACATGTCAAATTTTGAGAGGCTTACAAGGTAGTAATTTAAGCAGTTATGAAGTTACCATCAGACAAGCATTTTACAAGTGAATATTGTTTTGTTTAATTTGAGGTATGTTTGTGTAAGCTTTTTCCTTCTCTTTTTTGTATTGAACTTTGAAGTTCTTAAGGTTCTTCCTTATGATCTCAACGATCAACTTTAATTCTTTGCTTAAGATTTCTCACAGTTATCAAACTATGCTTTGGATATGAATGACTGATGTGGATTGTTGTCAGGTACTGTAAGTTCTAATGACAACTTTAAAGCTTTGGAAAGAGAGGACATTGGTGCATACATTCTTAGGGCATACAGGTTTGTTTTCTTGCATGTATACGTGACTATTTATTTTGCATATATTTTAGTATGTATGATAGTTTATATTTAAAATGCTTAGTATTTATATTTTTCCTTAATAATTATTTGTGTGTTGGGGGGTTGATAGAAATATGGTTTTGTCTTTCCTCTAACCAGTAAGTCATCATTTAAAGGTATGTGACTCTTCTATTGCCAATTACTTCCTTTCAATTTTTTGTTCTTTAAAATTTTTATGCT